ATTAATGATCTGGAGAGTTCTTTTCTTGCAGTCGTTGATGAAAGAAGGAAAATGTAGATCAGTGAAGGTTTGGTGTATGTAAGTACATTCCTTGTTGAGAAACTCAGGACTACAAATTCAATAACAGGCTCTACAAACACGCCTATGGTATTGGAATGGGGTCCCCCATCAGCGCTGTCTTACCCAACTTGCATGAGGAGCGCCTGGAAGCCGAACACTTCACCAACATCATCACTTGGTTACTTTATGTAAACGTTCTCATAATAACTCCCAAACGTTTTGATGTATGGAATTTTCAGGCAAGGCTCAACACAGTTGAACTGGCTATCCAGTTTACACTTTAACCCTTTCAGGGTTGGTGCTGTACTAGTATGGCTTGCACGCGAGGGTTGGTGGGGTACTAGTACGCATAAATTCTAGCACCTTCAAATCTAGCGAGAGCTGGTAGGCCTACATATGAAAGAATGGGTCTATGTGGTCAGTGTGCGCAGTATAAAAAAAATCCTGCAGCACACAGTGCATAATGAGAGAAAAAAAAAAAAGCTCCGACCATGTTTTTGGTTTAAAACAGACTTTGCAGTGTATTTTTGTATGCTATTTATGGTTGTATTTTAGTTTTCCTGGTCTCATTTTATAGAATGGAAGACATATTACGGAAATTGAGATTATTTTGATTGGTTTCACAATGAAAAGTAGCTTGAAATTGAGCTCAAAGTAGCAGAAATGTTCGATTTTTGCCAACATTCAAAAGTAAACAAATCATGCCATGCAGTAGTCTGCATAACAGTAAATCTTCTATTTTTTGTGAGAAAAATTCAAAGTGGAAAGCGAAAGAAACGTAACAGAGGCCTGGGAACGTGACTAATGAACAGAGGAAATTTTATTTTAGTGCCAGGGAATGTCTGTCTTTTTTATTCTGGACCCTATTTGGAAATTGGCATCTTTTGAAATTTGTGTGATATTGGCAAAATTGCCAATTTCTGACCACTTGATGGATAGTTGAAATCAGTAAATGGGTGGTTTCTTGTACTCATTCGATAGAAAAAATGAAGTTCTAGCAAAATAGTTATGATTTTTGTCGACTGGTACATTGGAATTGGCCGAAAATAGGGCTCAAAGTAGGTGAAATCACCGATGCGTAAACATTGTCGAGACCGCTAACTTCGCGAGAGCATAATTCCGCAAGTTTTCCATCAAATTTCATACTTTTGGTGTCATTATGATCAGGAAAAGATTCTCTATCATTTCATAAGCTTTTTTTTTTTTTTTTTTTTTCCCAAAAAAATTTCTGGCCCTGAGAACAAGTTTAGGAGAGGGCCTGCCGACCCTGAAATGGTTAAGAGCCCAATGATAAGTTACCTTTTCTTGACATCCTCACACACAAAGTAGATAACAATCTAAGACTTCAAGTTTACCATAAGCCTACAAACAAAAATGATCTTACCCACTTCTCATCCAGTCAAGATATTAAGACCAAAAGAGGCATCATCGTCAGATTTTTCCTAAGAGCATACCAAATTTGTAGTCCTAAGTTTCTTGACAAGGAATGTACTTACATATACCAGACCTTCACTGATATACATTTTCCTTCCTTTTTCATCAAAGACTGCAAGAAAAGAGCTCTTCAGATCATCAATCCTCCACGCACCAACACCACTCCTAACGAAGTTATCATCCTTCCCAACAGTCAGGTAGCATTGAATATTTCTAAGGTATTCACACAAACTATCATTAGTCTATCCATTGCATCCAGCACTTACATAAGGACAAAATCGAACCACCACGAACCAGTCAATGCAGGTGTTTACATTATACCTTGTGGAGGCTGCGACAGAATGTATGTATGTAGGTGAAACAGCAAAGAACCTCAAAACACATCTCAATGAGCACATTAATGCATGTAGGAATGATAGCTTGAACAACACCTGCATACAACACCGGAATTTCACCAATCTCCTCATGAAATTCAACGATGCCTGACTAGTGATCAGAGAGCCTAATTTCTATAGATGTAAATGCCTGAATCATCATTAATCGCTGTTTCTAACACAAGCAAAATAAAGGCAACTTCATCATCTCTGAAGTATTAGCAAAAATCCTCCTCAAAACAGTAAACCCTGCCATCACATAGTTGCTGCTGCTAACACTGAAACAGGCCTTCTCAAATCCAACCACTAACAGAAATATTTGTTTAACCTATTTTTATGCTACCCAAGTAATAGCTTTTATAAGCTTTTACTCAAGTGAAAGTTAACTGTTCTACTACATGTATTACTACAACAACTAATATTACTACTACCACTAATATTACACCTCATTCTAAGCCTATATACTATACTCTCTGCATCCATATATTGTTTGTAATGGCTTGATAAAGCTCCTGGAGAGTGAAACTTTGCCACAATAAAATATCACATTAGTTGCACTTGTATCCTTTTTACCTAACACTACAGATTTATACACTCTCCACGTCATTCTATTTTGCTCCATCCTCTCTAAATAACAAAATCACCTCAACAGCCCTCTGAATAATATTTTTAGTAACCCCATACCTCCTCCTAATCTCCAGGCTATGAATTCTCTGCATAATTTACACCACACATTGCCCTCTGACTCGACATCTCCACTGCCTGCAACCTCCTCCTTGCTGCAACTTTCACAACCCATGCTTCCCACCCATATAAGAGCGTTGGTACCACTGTACTTTAATACATTCCCCTTTTTACCTACATGGATAACATTCTTTATTTCTGATGATGCCTCAATGCATCACGTACTATTTTTACCCTCTGATCATTTCTGTAGTTCACCTTGTCTTTCATATACCCATCTGCCGACAAATCCACTCTCAAGTAGTATCTGAATACATTCACTTCCTCCTATTCACCCTCCTTCCAATCTGATAGCTAATCTTTTTGTTGCCTCATCACCTAGCTTTTTCCTGTGTTCACCCTATATAATATAAATAAATAATTTTTATTTTTTCAATAAACTGACTGTATCCCACTGAGACAGGGTGACACAAAAAGAAGAATGCAAGTTTTTCTTTTTAAATTTAGTAATTTATACAGAAGGGTTTACTAGCCTCTTCCTCCTGGCATTTTAGTTGCCTCTTACGACACCCATGACTTAAAGAGGAACAATTCTGATCTACTTTCCCTAAGGAGATTAGGGGAAATAAAGAAGAACAAGAACTACAGGTCCACCATCACAAATCTGGCAATTAGTCATCTGGTTCCATCACTTATTTGGCACTAATTTTGGCTAGCCTAATTTCAAATTTCCAGGGTCGCTACACCAACCTGCTGGTACTGTTTGGTGACACTACTTGCTGCATAAGTCATTCCAATTTCTCCATTTATTGTTATAACCTGCTTGCTTTTAACCCTAGCCATGGTCCCAATGAATAAAAGAAGTGCTTCTCATTGTGTAAAGCACATACACAGTACATTGTCCATAAGAAATAAGGTGGCTTTGAAGCCACTGTCGGCTGCCATGAGCTCAGTCTCGTGATGCAGGGAATATGCTTTATTATTACGCTGATATCAACACTATGGCTTATTTACATAAGAACATAAGAAAGAAGGAACACTGCAACAGGCCTACTGGCCTATGCGAAGCAGGTCTAATTCTCCCACCAGCTTAAACCAATGCCTTGACCTAATATGACATAATTAACAGTATATGTAACCTAAAAACATGGTAAATACACCAGAATGAATAATTGGCATAATACCGAGCGGTTCGACGGAGGTGTGAAGAGCATATGGGATACAAGTACCATCCTCCTATCCCTGACTTGGGGCTTATATTAGAGAAAATGGAATGTAACACAGGGCTAACTGTGATATACACTCATGATGCACCATAAAACAAACAAAAAAGCTATTTTCTCTACATAGATTATCATACATAGCAGCATATATGTAGAGAACCTAGGATAACCCAAAGAAGTCAGAGTGACTTATTTCCAGTACCTGGCTTGGGCTTGCCATATATAATTTTTGGTACATGTTTTTTTCTCAGTTGTTTGTTGGGCTATCTTATTGAAACTTGGGCAATGTATGGTGGAAAGATGCTTCTTAACCTACACCAAAAACGAAAGAAATCGGATGATAAATAACCGAGTTCACTTCTCAGCCATTAGCTTCCCCTTAGTGGTATATTTTCATATGATTTTTATGGTTGTATTCTTGTTTTTTAGGTCTCTTTTGATAGAATGGAAGATATATTACAGAAATAGATATGATTTTGATTAATTTCATGACGAAAACTATCTTGAAATTGAGCTCAAAGTAGCGGAAATGTTCGATTTTTGCCGATTTTCAGTGAACTTTCTTGTGTAAGTCACGTTAACTTTATTAAGTATATTCTAACCTAACTCTGTAAATTGGCAAACTCGATAATCCGGCACACTACAGGTCCCAATGATGCTGGATTTGTGATGGTGGACCTGTATTAACCCTTAAGCTGTCCAAACATAGATATACGTTGACGTGCGGCAGGCTCAGAACGTAGATCTACGTTTTTTTTTTTACGTGCTTTCAAATGGGGAAAATCAAGGTCGGAGCACTACGCATGTGAACGTAGCTCTAAATTTGGACAGTTTAAGGATTAAGAAATTAGAAAAAAACAGATGGGTAAGGATATACATATGCATGCATGTGTAGTGTAACCTAAGTGTAAGTAGATGTAGCAAGATATACCTGTTATCCCACATGTTTGAGACAGAAAAAAAGACACCAGCAATCCTACCATCATGTAAAACAATTACAGGTTTCCTTTTCATACACACTTGGCAGGACAGTAATACCTCCCTGGGTGGTTGCTGTCTGTCAACCTACTAGCTACTAAATATATAATAAATCTGTCTCAAATTGATATTAACAACCACCCTTAACACCAGAAAGATTTTTCCTAGGTTCAGTCATTATTTTTTTTTATATAATGCTTCTCTTAGTCTAGTTTAATGAAATGGGGTTTTATTTTTATTGTTTTAGATGTGGTGATGGTGTCCAACACTTCAAAGTTTTACGGGATGCGCAAGGCAAGTTTTTCCTATGGGTTGTTAAATTCAACTCTTTAAATGAACTGGTAGAATATCATCGATCAGCCTCAGTCTCTCGCTCACACGATATCAAGCTCAAGGACATGACTCCAGAAGAGGTATGTTTTGATACTGGGATTCAATGTGAGCTTTTCCCCTCTTGTGTTTTTAATTATCTTTATTGTATATAGAAATGCGTAATAAGTTTGGCACCACTTGCATTTAATTTAGCTAGATTGTTCGGTATTGTACACTTTATCAATGTAACTTACGGCAGTTTTATTAGATTATAGATGCAGTAAATTCTCTCATAATGCTTAGAATACATTCCTAAAACTCAGAGCCCTTTGAAAATTAGCTTTATGTGAAATGAGGAACATTTTGAGAAAACTAGTGTAATGTTCCAGAAACTTTTAATTTACCAATATGATACTAAAAAATTGAGGAATAAGACATGCAACACTTAGCTATCTGTATTTCTGAAATGTTGTGCCCAGACTGCTGACTTCTTCAATCAGATGTAGGGTAACTTTCATACTGGAGACAATAGTAGACGTGCAGGCTAATGAACTCAGCACCTTAAACGCTTCACCACTCGCTGAACATTTGGAAATTACCTCCCCACTTCTGCCTGTGGTAAGAAAGTTGCCTTTGTACTTAACTGTAGAAGCCTGCTGTACAGGTAAAATATTTTGGCAATAAAGATATATAAATGTTCCATATATCTCATTAAGGCTGCTACGTATAAGATTACAGTAGGGCCCCACTTATATAGCAGGTTATGTTCCAGGCTACCGCCAGAAAACAGAACACTATTTTTTCCACTTATAAATGCCAGATACTCGTAGCAACTCGTAGCTTTGTACTTAGCAGTAACGGCCTCTTAACAATGAAATCTGAACCAAGGCTGCTGGTGAGGGATGTATTTGTGTTGGAGATTAAGGATATGTTTAGTGAAGGCATTCACTTGGTTATCAGCATCACCTTGGAGAAGAGCATTCCAGTCAGAGATGGCAGGCTCCAAGCCACAGCTAAGTTGTGTGTGTTGATTCATCACCTCATTCTGTTGGAATATTCAGTGTCACAAAGACAGCCTTGTGGTTATGTGATCCAACCTAGCCAAGAGGTTTGCAAGTGACTGTTCCTTAAGATAGATCACTCACTGCTTTCTCTTTCTCACACTCACTCACTGATTCATTTATGTATTTACACATGCACACTTGCACGCAAGCGCGCACACACTCATGCATGCTCACACACACTTGGTATCTGTCAGTAATGTAGAAATAAATACCGCATTTTTTTTTACTAAGTTGTACCAAACATACAGAACTCACCTATACCAAAGATAAATGCATTTGAAAGCAAAATAACCGAGAATAATGTAGTGGGCCTGTCTCCCACAGGGTAATGAATAAAATGTATGTTGTATGAATATAAACCTCATTTTTCTCACATTTTAACATGTTGCAGAGGATATGAAAACACTAAGTTTAGATTGGTGAATGTCTCATCACCAAATAAGCCTCTAAACTGCATCTTCCCTACCCTTCCTTCAGATTGCAGACATTAAACCTCTCACCTGGAATGCGCTCCAGCAGCATGACAGATTCCAAAAATGACTTGTCTCAACTCACTCTGATCCAATATGCTCAGGACTTTTTTTTTTTTTTTTTTTTTTTAATAGGACTTCCAGGAACATAACCCCTGCAAATTTGTAGAGATGACTGTGCCTTCTTAGAAATTAAAATAATTTTTGTACGTATTCTATTTTTTTTTTCCAGCAAACCGGCTGTATCCTACCAGGGCAGGGTGATCTTAAAAGAAAGTTTTTCTTTTTAAGTTTAGTAATTTATACAGGAGAAGGGGTTACTAGCACCTTTGTTCCCAGTATTTTAGTCGTCTCTTATGACACGCATGGCTTATGGAGGAAGAATTGTTTTCCACTTCCCCGTGGAGATAAGAAAATAGAAGAAAATCCAGATGGGTGTGTAAATATATATGCATGAACTTGAATGTGTAGTGAGACCAAAGTGTAACTAGAAGTAGCAAGATATACCTGTTATCTTGCTTGTTTATGAGACAGAAGAAAGACACCAGCAATCCTACCATCATATAAAACAATTACTATATTTTTCCGTTTTACACTCGCTTAGTAGGATGGTCAAACTTTCCTGGGTGGTTGCTGTCCACCAACCTACTACCTAGGCATACTCTAAATATCTTTTTAATGTGCGTTTGCAAAGGAGTGAAGATGTAATGAACATGCCCAGGATTCTGGTTGGGGAACCTCATAACATAATGTACTGCAGACTGAGGCACATTGAGTGTACAGTATATCTATGTATATAATGAGTACTGTATTGGTTTAATTTTTTGTTATTATAGTGTAAGTCATTTAGCTACACGAGATGTATTCTTAAATCATTAATTAAACAATTACATTTTCAGTTCCTAGTGCAAGCCTTGTATGACTTCACTCCACAAGAACATGGAGAGCTGGAATTTAAGCGAGGTGATGTTATCACCGTAACAGACCGATCGGACCAACATTGGTGGACTGGTGAAATGGGTAATCGTAGGGGGCTCTTCCCTGCTACGTATGTTGCTCCGTACCATACCTAGGTGGTTGCTGTAATAGTACCTCTTCTTCTTGGTACCTTGACTCAGAAGGTGCCCATTCTTGTGTATCCCTTATTCTTGAAGGGTACCCCCATCTAGTTTTGGTCAGGTTTTCCCAGACTGTATCTAGACAGAGACTGTGAATGAGACCTTGTTCAAAACTGTGAAAACAAGCTGGCATGGCTAGGTTGGCCTTGGTGTATAAGGCAAAGACTGAGGGAAGTGATGGTTGGCTAGCCACTAGTAATACAGTAATTGTACTTATTTCTGTGGCTTACATCCCAGTCGTTAGTTACGCCAATATTATATTTTGAGTGATCCTCCTGCTAAAATGGAATAGCCTGCCATGTGTTATGTTTATTATTGGTGCCATTTCATATCTATCCTCCACAGCAGTTTTATAGAGAATCATTCTAAAGAAAATTACATATGTCTTATTCTTGCCACAAGCTCATATTTCACTACTGAATTTTTAAACCTGATTTTTTGTTGCATTAAACAGATATGTGATCCCTGGAGTATTGAAATGTGTAGTAGCTTGAGGAGTCAGTTAAATTAGCCTTGCATGGCTTTGAACATAACCATGGTTATTCTCAATTGTAACAATCTTAGCACAAAAAATTGGAGTTTTTCAATGTTTTCTTGCCTCACCTACACATGTTACCATCATTACCTGAATCTAAGATTACATGTATAGAACAGATAAGTGAACTATATACAAAAAAAGCTGTAGCATAATTTTTCATAATTTACAATAGGTTATATGCATGCCAAGGCTTTAAATTCAGGTAAAGTTGGTCCAAATTTTAGGAATATAATACCAGAAAATGAAGCTATAGATATTGGCTTTTACGAAAACTGGTAAGCACAATTTTTATACTGGTAGAATTCTAATAAATATGTTGAATGTATGAGGTTATATGTACATGATTATTAGTTATACCAGTCACATAACAAATGGTCTGGATAACACAAGTCAGAGTGGAGTGTGAGTGGTAGCCCAGCTGAGTACGTAGTGGTTGTGAGACTTAATAATATACACTTGGATGCTGAGTAACAATGATTTTAAACCAAATGCTTGTTCTTGTTAACACATTCTATAATTCATACAAAAAAGTTCATTATTAAATTAAAAAAAATTCCTTCTGATAATTTCAATGTGTTGGATTTTATTTGTTTTCCTGTTTAGTATTTTGTCATATGGAGGCTATTTCGGCTTCAGAGGTCTTGGGGCAAGGTTTCTAAGTATGCTCAGTAAAAGTATGAAATTTGTTCTACTGTAGTACAATAATTATTCATTTCCTATACAGTATATAATTTTATATCTAATTTTTAGGTAATTAGAAGGAAAAGTATTTCTAAGATATTTTTTGTTTGTAGTTGCACTGTGCACAGTTTAGAGATGCCCCATAGCTCAAAGCACCTGAAGTTAATAGTGTTGGTTCCTAGTTTGTTCCTCCAAAGTGTGGATTGTTTAGCCAGATTAATACTGCCGAGTGATGTGTTGCAGGCTTACAATTTATTATAAGTTTAAAAGATTATTTTTTGTCCATTTTTTAAGATACAAATGACTAGCTTGTTTTATATTGCCTCCATTTATGTGAGTTTCTTTTTTTGGGTGGTCAAGAAAACGAGGTAAATCTAATTGTCTGAATCTTACGTTATACTTACCAGTCTCGTTCATTATATTGAAGCCAGATAATCAGAGTTGTTACTGCTTGAATGTTTTAAAATTTTATTTGGATATCACAAGTCTGAAGGGGACTTCTTGTGAGTGGAATGATAATTATAAAGCTGTGAGGAATGGAATTTTGATATTATATAATAGTAAGACTTTAATCATAGAAGACATCTGTATTAACAAATTGTTATTTGAAATTCATACAAAGGGATTTTACCAATACCATGAAATCTGATGTGTATATATGTGCTGCTTTTGAAAATAGAGCTGACTCAAATTAAGTTTAAATAAACATGAATATCAAAATTGTGTGCCTGTAGTAAATTTTGCATAATTTTATCCTTTATGGTCAGGTTTTAATAAAATTAATGGTCATTAGTAACATGCTTTTATCAGGTTGCTCATAGGGTGGAAACAGTCCATATCTTTTGAGAAAAATATTTTTCTTTCCATCACATGCATTATTCGGTAATGTGTAAAATCTTCCCCACACACTGTGTTATCACAGTTTGCTTCACACACAGTCAGGTTCGGTAGTCTCCAGCAATACTTATGACTTTTGCCAAAGAATTTATCATGTTGACTTAGCTGTCCATTTAACAGAACAGTTGTCATCTGTTTTAGTGCTAAACACACAAAATGTAATGTATATGATGATTGTTAATGTGGCCTTATAGATAGGCAGACGTAGAGGAGGATGAGTGCGTAACTTGTTATATTCTACTGTAGAGTAACAAGTATTGTTTACAGTTGAATTCTCCTCTTATTGGCAAAACCAGTTAAGAACATAAGAACATAAGTTTATAAAAGGGCTTAATGCTGCTGGGGTATTGGTGCCTCGTGGTAGTTTGTTTTGGTGAGTTGCACTTTGCCAAGGACCACCATACTTGTTTGTTTGAATGAAAGCCAGTTTCATGGTGAAACTAGGGCTGTATTAAAATTTGTAATACAGCATAATCAAAGAAAAGCATGTGGGGTCTCTGGTAATTCATTAGAGCATAATTAAAAATTATAATACAAAGATTATTTTTAGTTTGAGATGTGACCACCGCCATGCAAATAGTTTGTGTGGCCATTTTTTTTTTATTAATGGCTTTTGTAGAGTTACCCTTCTTTAAAAGATTAATAGTAAGTTCCTGTGGCCATATTTACTTAAATATGGCTATGTTGGTATAAGTATTGAAAATCATTAATGAAAAAAATGTAAACCAAAATTAAACTTTGGTTTTTTAAGAGGCTATCTCCTGGGCCACCAAGTGCCCTTTAATAGCATTCTGTATCCAATGAAGTCTCAAGCTCTGGTCTGCATCATGTTTTAAGGTAAGTAACATTTTCAAAAGCATTCCTTGTATACTATAGTAAAAAAGAAACTAAAATTCATTTTATCCACATCCGGTAAGGCCTCTTAAAAAATAATTGGATATAGGTATTATTAATTGAGATTTTTTAAGTAGTTTGAGAAAATGTGACAGATGAATAAGTTCTGTGGAATGAGTGCATTGTGGACTGGAATTACAAAAAATTAATTATCAGTATGAATAAAGGACATTTATAGATATACTTTTTTTTTTTTTTATGTATAACCAGTCGGCCGTCTCCCACCGAGGCAGGGTGACCCAAAAAGAAAATACTTTCATCATTCAGCACTTTCACCTCACTCACACATAATCACTGTTTGTGCAGAGGTGCTCAGAACACAACAGTTTAGAAGCATATACATATAAAGATACACAACATATCAATAACAAAAAGGCACAATACCGTGACTGGAACGATACACAAATAACCCGCACATAAAAGACAGAAGCTTACGACGACGTTTCGGTCCGACTTGGACCATTGACAAAGTCACACTAACAGAGGAGGAGCAGGACGGCTATATATAGGCAGGAAGAGGTGGAGGTAGTAGTAGTAGTAGTAGTAGTACAAGAATTGTATATAATACCGACAGGATGAAATGACACATGCACAACACCCGGGCATCCCCACCGTAGACGTTTCGCCATCCAGCCAGCCACTGGATGGCGAAACGTCCACAACAAAGAACCAGACGCCGCACATGTGTCTAATTTCATCAGTAGATGTAGTAGAAGAAGAAGAGGTAGTGGTAGTGGTAGAAGTGGAAATAAGGAAGACGAGCCAGTCAAATACAAAGGAAGGGGAGCACTGCAAGAGAGCTAGAAACCCACAGAGGGAAGGGCAAGCGCACCGAGGTGCGTGAAAGGGGAAGTGGTGAAATAAAATAAAGAAGGAACAGAAACACGAGACAGGAGAGAGAAAGACAACCCAGAGGAGAAAAGGAGAGAGGAAAGGGAAGAGGAAGAAGAAAAAGAAGAAGAAGAAGAAAAAAATGAGGATTCAGGTTAAGTCACGGGTGTTCTGAAGTTTGGAGCATTTTACAATGTAGTGGGAGAGGAAGGCATCTACAGAGACGAAGCCAGGGCTAAGGTTCATACAAGGAAAGTTGTGTATAAGAGAGGATTCAACTAAATGGCGACTGTTCGAGTTGGAAGTAGGGAAGACAGTTTTAGCAGAAGACCAGTCAATAGGATGGCTATGATCTCTGACGTGACAGAAAAGAGCATTGTTAGTGTCGGCAAGCCTAACACTATTTTTGTGCTCCCTAAGTCTGTCAGAAAGAGATCGACCAGTTTCTCCAAAGTATTGAAGAGGACAGGAGGAGCAAGAAATAGAGTAGACACCAGGAACATCTGTAGAGGGAGGAGAGGTATGAACGAGATTAGTGCGAAGAGTGTTAGTCTGGCGGAAGGTAAGCTTGATGTCTAAGGGACGGAGAGAATTGTTGAGATTAGAAAGACCGGAAATGTAGGGAAGGCAGAGGATAGAAGAGTTCCCATGAGTAGAGAGTTTGGGAGAGAAGAAATTGTGTTTAGCACGTGAGAGGGCAGAGTCTATGAAATGGGAAGGGTAGCCAAGACGGGAGAACGAATTATAAAGAGTGGAAATTTCTGCTCTTTATAATTCGTTCTCCCGTCTTGGCTACCCTTCCCATTTCATAGACTCTGCCCTCTCACGTGCTAAACGCAATTTCTTCTCTCCCAAACTCTCTACTCATGGGAACTCTTCTATCCTCTGCCTTCCCTACATTTCCGGTCTTTCTAATCTCAACAATTCTCTCCGTCCCTTAGACATCAAGCTTACCTTCCGCCAGACTAACACTCTTCGCACTAATCTCGTTCATACCTCTCCTCCCTCTACAGATGTTCCTGGTGTCTACTCTATTTCTTGCTCCTCCTGTCCTCTTCAATACTTTGGAGAAACTGGTCGATCTCTTTCTGACAGACTTAGGGAGCACAAAAATAGTGTTAGGCTTGCCGACACTAACAATGCTCTTTTCTGTCACGTCAGAGATCATAGCCATCCTATTGACTGGTCTTCTGCTAAAACTGTCTTCCCTACTTCCAACTCGAACAGTCGCCGTTTAGTTGAATCCTCTCTTATACACAACTTTCCTTGTATGAACCTTAGCCCTGGCTTCGTCTCTGTAGATGCCTTCCTCTCCCACTACATTGTAAAATGCTCCAAACTTCAGAACACCCGTGACTTAACCTGAATCCTCATTTTTTTCTTCTTCTTCTTCTTTTTCTTCTTCCTCTTCCCCTTTCCTCTCTCCTTTTCTCCTCTGGGTTGTCTTTCTCTCTCCTGTCTCGTGTTTCTGTTCTTTCTTTATTTTATTTCACCACTTCCCCTTTCACGCACCTCGGTGCGCTTGCCCTTCCCTCTGTGGGTTTCTAGCTCTCTTGCAGTGCTCCCCTTCCTTTGTATTTGACTGGCTCGTCTTCCTTATTTCCCACTTCTACCACTACCACTACTAATACCTCTTCTTCTTCTACTACATCTACTGATGAAATTAGACACATGTGCGGCGTCTGGTTCTTTGTTGTGGACGTTTCGCCATCCAGTGGCTGGCTGGATGGCGAAACGTCTACGGTGGGGATGCCCGGGTGTTGTGCATGTGTCATTTCATCCTGTCGGTATTATATACAATTCTTGTACTACTACTGCTACTACCACTACTACTACCTCCACCTCTTCCTGCCTATATATAGCCGTCCTGCTCCTCCTCTGTTAGTGTGACTTTGTCAATGGTCCAAGTCGGACCGAAACGTCGTCGTAAGCTTCTGTCTTTTATGTGCGGGTTATTTGTGTACACAACATATCCCTCCAAATTGCCAATATCCCAAAACCCCTACTTTAGAGTGCAGGCATTGTACTTCCCATTTCCAGGACTCAAGTCCAGCTATATAAAAATAACTGGTTTCCCTGAATCCCTTCACTAAATATTACCCTGCTCACACTCCAACAGATCGTCAGGTCCCAAGTACCACTCGTCTCCATTCACTCCTATCGAACACGCTCATACATGCCTGCTGGAAGTCCAAGCCCTTCGCCCACAAAATCTCCCTTACCCCTTCCTTCCAACCTTTTCGAGGATGACCCCTACCCCGCCTTCCTTTCCCTACAGATTTAAATGCTCTCCATGTCATTCTACTTTGATCCATTCTCTCTAAATGACCAAACCACCTCAACAGCCCCTCTTCAGCCCTCTGACTAATACTTTTATTAACTCCACACCTTCTCCTAATTTCCACACTCCGAATTTTCTGCATAATATTTACACCACACATTGCCCTTAGACAGGACATCTCCACTGCCTCCAACCGCCTCCTCGCTGCTGCATTCACAACCCAAGCTTCACACCCATATAAGAGTGTTGGTACTACTATACTTTCATACATTCCCTTCTTTGCCTCCCCACTCCCAAACTTGTCCACTAACCCTTGCAATTTTTCTTTAGAATCTCCCATAAGCACAGTATCATCAGCAAAAGCAACTGTGTCAATTCCCATATTGTATTTGATTCCCCATAATTTAATCCCACCCCTCTCCCGAACACCCTAGCATTTACTTCTTTTACAACCCCATCTATAAATATATTAAACAACCATGGTGACATTACACATCCCTGTCTAAGACCTACTTTTACCCGAAAGTAGTCTCCCTCTCTTCTACACACCCTAACCTGAGTCTCGCTATTCTCATAAAAACTACAGCATTTAGTAACTTACCACCTATTCCATATACAGTGGACCCCCGAGTTTCGGCAGCATCGACTTTCGTGAAATTCGACATTTCGGCAAGTTTTTTCGGCAAAATTTGGCCTCGAGTTTCGTGATTAGACTCGTGATTCAGCAATCGTCCGGTACCCGTCCACCCGTCACTGCGCACACAACACCAGTCTTCCACGCCATGTGTGCCATTGTTTACCAACACGTGACCATCAC